TTCCAGTTCGCTGTTCTTTTGAGTGCCTTCTGCAGATCAGATTTTGTTATCTGGAGGTCACTCATTTCGGGAGTATCTGTTAGCTCCCTCTGACGTCGGAGCCATGTGGCGTCGACGTTGTGGCTCGCCGGGCGTTCCATGATGTTCGACCAGAATTCTTCCACTTCCGCCTTGCCAGGGATCTTCTTTACTTCTATGGGTTTCGCTCCCAGTTCCCGGTAGAACAGCTTCTGGTTATTCATGAAGCGCTCGTTATGCCGGAAGTAATTGACCTTTTTCGTGTTTCGTCTGAATTTTTTTTCTGAGTTGTGGCATCATCATGTTTCCATGAGTGTGAGGACCTGGCAGGTGAGGCGCATGCGCCACAGCCACCTGTTGCACTGGGTGCACATGGTGATCCTCTGATCCATGGGGCACCACGGCCGTTGGACTGTCGAGAGAGAGACTGTTTTCCATATATATATATGTATATATATATATATATATGGAAAACATTAAGTTATTATATATTTTAAACAATATATGACTCAGGGAATAATTAAATGCTGAGGTTTAGCTTTTTATTGCAGCAGTGCACGGGATTATGGAAGCGAAGAATCCCAACGCCGCAAGCATAACACCTTTTTTATCCTAGATGGAAAAGAGCTCCTCTGAACATCTACTCCTCCTCCCGAGGTTCCGGTACGGGAAACGGAAGCAATAAGTCAATTTGGTATTGTTAAGTGCTGGTGAGGATGAGTATTCGTGTTCTCATCCAACCACCCATGAGTTCTGAAGTATGGAAAGGAATGGGAGATACAGTGTATCAATTCTCTTCAAAGGTACTGATTCGCTCGTTAAATACACATGAATCTCAGGTGGGTAAAAATCTTACATGAATTCTATGTAAAATGAATGTAAACATATTGATTGGAATGAAAACGGTAGTCAGTTTTAAGTAAAATTAAGGCTAATTTCATATCACCGTTTACGTATCACAGAGCTGACATTTCCGCGGACATGTTGACATTATCTTGACAAAAGTTTATGTAAAAATGATATAAAATGTACAAAATGTACATTCATTTTCTGTAAAATTAACATAAACATGCTGTTTCGGAAGAAGAGAGCTACCACGAGAATGTAAGAGGCTTTGGGGCAACTTTGAGACTTTCCTGGAGTTAATCAAGGAAACGAGTAAAAAGCAAATTCCCAGGCATGGTTACGGCCAGGAGGGATGGGAAATCGGCATTTCTGATACAGGACAGTGAACTTTGACGGGATACAATAATAACCACATATCCTGTATTTAAAAAAAATCCCTCAGGTCCCAATGAAATTTTAGAAACAAAAGAATTAATAATATTCTGTACGATAGCTATTGAAAACGTATTAGACTCTCTAAGTATCTTATCGCATCCAAAAGGAACCCTATAGGATTCTAATGAGAATCGTACAAGAGTTTTATATTTTAAAAATCTCATGACATACTATAGTTTCATTCGTATGAAAATGACAAGTACCTTTTTTGTAATGATTACTAGTATTTAGAGTTATTCTCAACCCAGTAGTGTGGTTATGCTACCATGTTAATATGTCAGCATTTGGTTACTCATTCATTCTTTCCTTTACATCATGTGAACAAATTCCCAGTAATTATCTACTTTTGAATTGGTTGCATGACACATTTGCTTATTGACTGATGCAATCTCCATGGTTGTAATTGCATACGTGCAGCAACGCCCCTTTTACAGTGAAATGAATTTTCGCATTTTTCACTGTGATACAGAGGAAACATGTGCTCGTACAAATATTCAAATGTTAGGATACTTAAGAGCAAGTTCATTTTGAAGGAACCAAGTTACTTTAAAAGTAACTTTACCCTGGATCCACACATACTGCAGACCTTGCAATTCCAAATCCAGAAACAGCAGAATCACATCAGATGTTCCATTTTATAGACACATGTAACAGCATTACAGCCCATATTCCGAATGGAAACGAGAGGCGCGTGGGGTAGGGAAGGGGTTTGAGTCAACATATTTCAACATGTGGCATAAAATAAGGACCGCCTCTCCGCTTCAACTGGGACATGTAGGGCCAGTTCAGCGTTCTCCTTTCTCTTCCTCCAGTCGCTTCATCGTGTCACTCGTGGTGTCACCATTCTCTCCGAGTGAGCCCATGTTCTTGAAGATATTGCGGGACTTGCATAATTCAATTGGCTGTGTCTGGTGTCCTCGTCTAGGCATAAGAGGCTGAAGTAGCCATGGAAACGGCCTGAACAAACCATTCGGCTCGTGCTGTTGCGGGCCATTCCTTGAATTAAGTTTTGACAAATTCCATCCGTAATACAGACATTTAACCGAATTGCATTCAATATTTATTTCCAAAATACTAATGAGAAAACCGAGTTAGCATATTGTCTTAGGGTAGAATGGGAAGCAAAAAAGACAGTCTGGGATTCAAAATCTAGCAAGTAAATGTTGTAGGGAGTCCTTAGGGAAGCGCAAAAAGAGATCACACAGGCTCCTCCGACCCATAGTGTAGCCAAAAGTCATTGCCAAAGTTGTTGCTAGATGGTCCTTACGGGAGTCGAATTCAAACGGCAACAACTCGGAAACCGATAGCCAGAGGAACCGCAAGTAACATCTTCGGGAAGCTATGACAATCTACTTTCGAATGAGAGGGTAGAGATTCCAGCTGACTATAAATGTTACAGATCAAAAGGATTTATAACTGGGAGTAGTCTAATGTTTTTCTAGAACAAGTTTCTGATCGCCCCGCCGGCCACAGATCCATCGCAGAGAAAACCATGCATGCGGTTTTCAAAGACTCCCGGTCGATATGTTCAACAAATCTCCTAGGCTGTGCATGGAGCATTTCGGAGAACACTGCCAAACTTTGCTCGAAAATTTTTCGGATAAAAAAAGGGTCCGAATTCAAAATTAACGAAAGAAGCGGGAAAATTAGAAAGTAATAGGATTTCTGCGAAATTCTGCAAGCCCCTTCACCCGAATCATAAAAAACTAGCTACGCAAAACCGATTAAGTCCAAATTCACAAAAATTTTGTGAATATCCATGACGCGTTTCGAATATCTCCGTTGGCGGAAGAAATGAATCGTGAACTCATTGCAAACCAGGGAATGTCGTGGGAATCCATTGCGATCACCTCCGAATTCTCTCATTTTGACAGAAATTCACTCGTCTCGGCATCGCCCTGGTCGTCTTAGAAATATTGGAGGTTTTAAAAACCTATTTCAGCCCATTTCTGTCACTCGAGGTGGCAAGGTTTGCTCGAGATTCGCGTTCTTGTGTACAGGCGTATAAATGCAGAACCAGAATGGCATCTGCGAACCCCATCAACTGAAATGGGATGCAAGAGAACACCCATGAACAGCTCAATCGGTCGGGATGAAAATCTCGAAGTAGTCCCGTTTTCGATGAGGATCCTTTTGCCTGTCCAGTAGTGCATCTCCCGAGACAAGGCCTGCCTTCTCAACTAGGGCTAGGTCTGCCCTCCATCTTCCTTCCTCAATGCTGGTCCTGCATAGAGGCTAGTATTTTTTTGGAATATCATCACCTCTGAAACAGCTCCCCATATGCCGAGACGTTTGGATCCGCAAGTCGTCTTCTCTGTGCTAGATCTTCGTATAGTTGAAATCTTCTGGCCTCCCACGCAAATTCCAATACTTTTCCATATTTCCAAGTTTCCTCCCATCCCTTCTCCTCTGTTTATTTTCTTTTTCTGAACCAACGTTTCTCGTCCGCTTTTTTAAACACAACTTTTCAACTATCTGTCCAATGGCGAACGCAACAGGCGTCGATTTTCTTTCACGCTTGGTTTCATTGTCGTGCCGTTCTAGATATATACATGGACATAACATCGTTGAAAAGCTTCACAATGAGACGATCAGGGATGAATTCATCTCGGTTGAAGGATATAATCCTCGCCGTCGCCCTGGTGACGGTGTGCATCCTGACCCTGGCGATCACCCAGGGGCGGAGGGATACGGAGCTAAATGTGCTTGGGGAGTGCACCCAGTTGGATTGCGACATGAATCCTGAGAAGGACGTGTCGTTCACGGGTGCTTGGTGTCCCAGAGAAAAAGTGTTACAAATCCACGTTACATATTTTGACGAACCCCTGGCAAAACAACTGTCGACGTTCCTCGCCGGGAACTCCGTGGCTGATTTCGGCGCCGGAAGCGGTCAATACGTGAAGAAGTTGCGAGAACTTGGGGAAGTGGCCAAGATTGATGGATACGACGGGATGCCGAACGCGAAGGAAGTCACGAAAGGATTGGTGGCAGAAGTGGATCTGACGAAAGATCTTGGCTCGAAGATCCCAGTTTACGACTGGGTCGTGTGCCTGGAGGTGGGCGAGCACATCCCGAAGGAGAAGGAGGGCGTCTTCCTCAAGAATGTCTGGAGCCACGCGAGGGACGGCATCGTCATGTCCTGGGCCGTGCCCGGTCAAGGAGGAAAGGGACACGTGAACGAGCGACCGAATGACTATGTCATCTCGAAGCTTGCGGAAGCGTCATTCTCGTTCCAGAAGCAGGACACAGAGAAACTACGAAAGAGTGCCCGAAATAATTATTTCCAAAATACAATCATGGTCTTCAGGAAAACGCAGTAATGATTCTTGCAATCAATTCCTTTCTTTGCGTCCTTCCTAGTGGTTCCTTGTTATTGCATGCCTGTTCACGACGGCAAATAAAGAGCATGAACACAAAACGGACATTCGAGTAATGCAAACCACTCCATCCTATGTTAATTCTGCAGATAAATTCGGTCCTCTTTTCATCTTTCAAGTTTGTTGGAGAGAAAAAGAAATTCGATGTACCTTCTCCACCCCCTATAAAAAAAGTAATAATAAATTAGTTAATAAATATTTATTTAAATAAAAACACCGTGAAGCACCTAGAAGGAATGTACTCCAAAAGTAGCATAGTCCAGAAACGAGAACCCCAAGGACTCCAGATTTCGGGCAGTTCCAAATTTACCGACCTAACACCAGACTCAAAATGAAATCATGCATGACTGTACATCCTTAACATGGCTTGGTCCAGAAAATCCACTTCAACAGTGCCTTATTGACCATAGATACCTGTACTTATTCCGGTCAGAATTTTCTCATTTCTCTCATGTATAAAAATAAGGATGGCCATCCATGTCGTGTTACGACGTAACACAGTTTAGACCACNAATGTTAGGGAGCAAAACTGCATGAAAAGATTGCTAGAGCTTTTGTATTTATATAGTTAAAAATATGGGACAAAAGTGGACAGGACTTTCTGGTCACCCTGTATATTTACCCGTTTTGCTGCAACGATAATGAAGAAGAAGCTCACCCCTTTTTTGGAGTTCGCTATCCATTCGAGTTAATCGAATGGATAGCGAACGGCAGATGTAGTGCAACTACTTCCCACTCCCTAAAAAATTTACTCCGCAGAAATAAATATAATTGGGCAGAAAGAAATGCATTTTTTTCGAGATCGGTTGAAAGTCAAGCACAAAATCCAAAAGTCACCTAGCATATGAGTACGTGATATGTAATGGATGGATGTTTCGTGTAATGGATGGCAACCCGGAGGAGTGGACTCAACAGAGCGTTCAAGCGATGCCGTGACTACGCTATCGGTCGGGACAGCGGTGAGACGGTGGCTCGAACAAACGGAGGTTCGCACGGCTGATGGGAGATGGCGCCAGAGTAGCTGGTGCGGCGGGTCAAGGCCGGATGCAGCGGGGAAAGGCCCTTGAATGCCTGCCACCCTGTCCCCGATCTTTCTCCACGGATGCGAGGGGGGAGGACATTCCAGGAAATTTTTAAAAGGCAAGAAATTCGTCGAAAACGGGAATTCGGATCGTGGAATGTCGAAGTGATCTCCAGGGACATGCCAAGGCGCCTCGGGATTCATTCGGTTGGAATTTCCAACTCGTGAGAACGGCCAGCTACGTCGCAGCGGAATGGTCCCCGGGGACGGTCACGGCGTGATAGGAGTACCGTAAATGAAATGTTAGTTAAGCGTGCCACGGTTACTTGGGACCGATTAATGCAATGTCCTAAATGAACGTAGGAATAGCGTTCATCAAACGCTCACTGGTTTCAAGTGGCCTTGAGCGCTTCTAAAAGCGGAAATTCGACGCCGTGTCATCGTTTGCTTCAATGCTGGCACGGCAATAGAAGTGCTAGAAGCGAACGTTTTCATGCCACTTTTTTTCCCCAGCGCTCTCGTGTATGCTGAGGGGATTCCAGATCGGGAATCTAGGCACTGCCAAAAACACGTTTTTTTCTCGAGAAAGAAAGATGTCGTAGTCGTTGGATCGAAGGATCACGTGTCCCTTTCCTCCTTGACCAGCCACGGCCCAAGACAGGACGATGCCGTCCCTCGCGTGGCTCCAGACATTTCGGAGGAAGACGTGCCCTCCTTCTCCTTCGGGATGTGCTCGCCCACCTCCCGGCACAAGACCCAGTCGTAGACGGGGATCCTCGGACCAAGATCCTCGGTCAGATCCACCTCCTCCACCAGTCCCTTCGTGACTTCCTTCACGTTCGGCATTCCGTCGTATCCATCGATCTTCGCCACTTCCCTCATTTCTCGCGGTCCAACTCAGTGCACCGGCCGGTCACGTCCAGCCCAGGATGTGTCCACCCGCTTACGATCGCCAGGGCCTGGATGAACGCCGCCGCGAGCGCGACCGAGAGGACGAAATCCTTCAACCGAGATACATTCCTTCTTAATCTTATCATTGCATCAACTGTTGCTGGATCCCTGCGTGTCTGGAATAGGCCCGAAGATGAAATAAAATTTAAAAAATTGAATACATTCAAATATGTATCACTGGCTGAAGTGTCCGGCATTGCCTGGGGAAATATTCATTCAGTATTTGGGGAAATATTTTACTCAATGGGGAAATGCATTATTTCATATGTGGCGAAATGGGGAACGTTAGCCTCGTGGTTTCTTATGAG